GGGGGTGTTTGTTTTTTTCCTGGCCTTGATTCATTTGTACCTGTCCTTGGTTAAACCCCAGACGTTTCCAAACAGAGCAAGAAAGTTTCTTATGCAGTTCACTCCACACTTAATGCCTAGGCATCACATGTGGCTAAAACCCATAATGAAAATCTGTGCCTCAGAGGTGCCTTGATAAAATGAGCATTAGCTCAGAAGTGGTACAGATCGTGATTCCATTATCGTTCAGTGACCTGCGTACAGCAAGAGGTTTTGCAGATCTCCGAGTTCACCAGTCTCCTCTGAGATGCAGGGCCAGAGAAGAGTGCTAGTAATGGATGAGATGCACATACTGCCATTTCAGGCCCAAACTGCCAGCATCCTCAGAAAGTCTCACCTGCCACAGCAAGGCAGAGGGTTGCGACCTGTTAGCTGGGCCCTTTTGGAGGTTTCCAGCTTGTTTCAACTATCTGGGGGTTTTGTTATCGTATAAGAAAGAGCATGCACATTGAAAGCCCAGCTTGCAGCTCAGCTGTGGACAGTGATGCGAGAAACTTCTTTTGAAATATCTTAGGCTTTTAGGTTTTCTGGAGGTTTGTCTTAAGGGGTCTTTCTCTTTGAAAGTGCTCTTTCAGAAACAGATATTCTCTGAAATGCATGTAGATTCCAAGTATGGAAGGGGGAAAACATTTTTGCCAGCTGGAGTTACTGGATGAAACTGATGTTTAGGCAGAAGCTGATGTAACTCACAGGACATAAGGGGTGTCATTGCACACCACCAGAGCATCATTTACCCATCAGTAGAATTGATCATGGTTGGATGCTTAGGTACTTAACTCCTACAGTGCCACAGAGGATTGGGTCCTTTGAGATGTAGTTCCTAGAGTTGCTTACTGGCACTGTTAGCCTTTGTATCTCTTGAAACTCTCTTATAAGAGTTATGAAGTATTCACCGCTTACCAATCTCCCTTCAGGCAGGGCTGACGCAGTCCATTCCCATTCTGCGAAGAGATCATCACCTCCAGCGATGCATTGGCCTCAACCCAATGTCCTTCCCGACCGCCGACCTTACTCTTAAGGTAAGCAAGCTGGTATGCGGGCTTAATGTTAGCTGTCCGCTTGGCCAGAGTAACAAGGGTGAAGAGCTCCTTCCCAGAGGGACTTGTTAGGCACTTGCTGAACCTGTAATTAGGCGGTGTAAAAATTACGAGTATATGGTATTCAGCATGGGTGGAGAGGGATGTGTTTTATCTGTCCCGGATGCTGAAGTCCTCGATAACTGTAGAATGAGTGCAGCAGGATTTCCTGCTATAGCGACTGTCTCGGTGGCTGGGTATGCGGACGGTGATCCTAGGTGCTCTGCTGTGCCTGACAGTTTGGGGCGGGGAAGCCTCAGCAAATGCCAGAAGTGATGGTTTTTTTTGTGAGGGATGCTTACCCATTGGGAACTGATGTGAAACCTCTTGACCTGAGACATGCCAGCTTTCAGCTGTGACCAGCCCAGGTTGGATTTGAACTGACAGTTTACAGATGAGCAGCTCTAGGCCTCAGTATTTTCCTCCCCATTTGAACTGTCTGTAGTTATTGCCCTTCGTTTCCATAGATGGAGTCTGCTCGTAAGGCCTGGGAAAACTCTCCTAGTTTACCAGAACAGAACTCTCCAGGAGGTGCAGGCTCAGGCATCCAGCCTCCTTCCAGTGTCGGAGCTTCCAACGGTGTCAGCTACAGCACTTTTGGCGGTGTTTCTATGCCTCCTATGCCTGTGGCATCCGTAGCACCTTCTGCATCTATTCCAGGTACCTGCAAACTGCGGCAGCAGTATTTGCATTGTCTGGTTGGTGCATCTGCTCTTTCCTGTGAATCCTCCTTGGATTCTCATAGATGAGAGCATGGTGGGACGAGCCTCCATGTAAAGTAGCAATTGACTGGTTCACGTTTAGCAGATCCTTAACAACAATTTAGGCAAGACAGAAGGGGACCGCTTCCGTTCTTTGGAGACTGTTACTTGAATTTTATTGGTATAATCTCAGCGCAAGGCTCCCTTTTTACTTCTGGACATACCTATACCTGTGCAGTGACCAGTCTCTATGATGTCTCAATAGATCCTGCTGACCCTTCACTGTGTACTCACTAGAACAGAAGGGAAGTGAAGTAATCTATGGCTGAGAGACTTCAACTCTCTCAGCATTAACATCCTCTATTGCTCTATCCATTTTGCTGTTTGAGACTTTTCTGTATGTTACAGGTTTTTCTGTATGTCACGGGACTTTCTGCTCTTTCTTCGTAACAACAATAACTTGCTTACAGTGATAAATGTTTGCATAATTCTGGGAAGTGGGGAAGTGCTGCCGTCCTTGAATTACGGAGGGCAAACTTAAGCTCAGTCAGGTTAGATGATGTGTCTAATCAGAGAGAGCATTTGGGATGAAGAAAGGAAACGTACCTGGACTCTTTGATTCTCAGGTCCTGATGGACCTCTCATGCATTGTCCTTCTCTCAGCTGGAGAACGGAGTGGAATACTTTGGGCAAAAGTGATAATGAGTGGGTGGCTGGAGGGGCTGGCTGTGTTTACCTCATTTCCGCTTGGAAAGCAGATTATTTCCAAGCCAGGTGATTTTTCTAGCTCTCCCTCCATTTTGCTTGTATGTCTCGTGCTTCAGGTCTGTACAGAACCATAGGAGTGGCATAGCACTTTCTTCTTGGTGCCCACCCTTGGCTCTTAGATCTCTCATGTGAAGGTCTCAAGCACCATGTTTGCTCTTGCCTTCCCTTCTAGCTGTAAAGGTGAGATGATTGCAGAGCAGCGCAGGTTTCTGGCATTTAGGAACAGTTCGGAGTACAGCTCACCAATTCCTGAACTGCCAGTCTCTTGTGACTCTTCTGTGGAGAAGTCTCTTGCTTGCCAAAGCATGCTCCCCCAAGGCATAGGGGCTGAAAAGTAATGATAATTTTCTATAATTAGGCTTCTGACTTGTGAACTTTACTGGCTGTTCTGAATCACTGTTAAATGCCTGTGTTGACTTGCTGAGCTGGTTGCCGAGAGGTGGGAAGTAGGCTTGATTGACCTGCAGGTCTCTGTGCAGGGTACCGTGTCTGTGGTCCCCCCTGTACCTTGAATTATAGCCTTCCTTTTATGATGTTTAGGTAACCATATTCCACCCCTGTATCTGGATGGCCATGTGTTTGCAAGTCAGCCCCGCCTGGTCCCTCAGACAATACCTCAGCAGCAAAGCTACCAACAGGTAAGGAAGAAGAGCAACTGGCTAATGTTTTTTTCAAGAAGTCTTCAAGGTGGCATTTCAGGAATGGGGAGTCATTTATCTCTCTGAAAGCCAAAGGAGCTCAGACGTGGCTCCCTTCAGATTCCTTGACTGTTGCTTCCCAGTGGGTGTTGCAGGTTAGTGAAAACGAAGGGAAGGAATGGCATTGTTTTTCTTTTGTCTAATGCCTTTGGACTGGGTTTAACTGAAACAGATGCAGAGAAGTCTAGGTGACTCTAGGTAGAGTGACCTTTTGTAAATTTCCCAACCAGTCAAAGCTGATGGGCAGTTTTAGTAGCCTTGGTAAAGAGGCTACTAAAACTTGATAGCATTGGGAAGAAGCACTTTGAGGTAAGAGTGCGGGCAAATGAGCGCTGAACTCATTAGTGCTGATAAAGGGCCTGTTCTGTGTGTGGAGCATGTTCGTCCCCAAGGGTGTCCATCAAACACTTCTTGCAGGCATCGCTCTCCCTCCTGGGTGCCTGTGCAGTCACTTCCCCTGCCAGGTTTTTGCTGTATTGTGGAACGATGCAGTGGCTGGATAAAACTGGAGCGTAGGCAGTTCTCAGGGCAGATTGCCTGGCTGAGGAAACTGAAGGGTTTTTAACAACTTGAGATAGTTTCTGGTTGCTCTGCCTCTCAGTCATTGTAATTTCTTCTACAGGCTGCTGCTGCTGCTCAGCAAATTCCCATTTCCCTCCACACATCCTTACAAGCCCAAGCTCAGCTTGGGCTGAGGGGTGGCCTGCCTGTCTCCCAGTCTCAGGAGATCTACAGCTCCATACAGCCCTTCAGGTAACTGCTTCCTGTTGTTTGTTTCCTTGTGGTCTGAAGTTTTACGTTCCAAATGGCCAGGTACGTAAATCGGATACTCCCCACTCCTCTCCTCTTCCCCTTTTGCCGGCATCCTGTTTATTTTCCCCTCGTAACGTAGCCAGGGAAGAGAGTGAGGGTGTCGGATCACGTGAAGCTCTTTGTAGGATGCTGCTTCATAGGACGATGGCAAAGACCATCCTTGGAAAACTACATTCAGTCGCAATGGTTAACCTCCCAAAGGAGGAGGCAGATCTTGGGGGAGATGCAGAAAGGAGAGCTCTGGGTTTCTCTTTCTAATGAGACCCAGAGCTTAGCGCTTATTGTATTTGACTTATTACTGGGGAGAAGATGAAGAGGCGGTTTGATCAGAGATCAATACCTGCACAGGGAATTTAAAGAACTTCTTCTTTAATTTTTACAAATTACAAGAGAAGAACAGGATAAATGCCAGGAGACTAGCAGAAGTTAGTAGAATTCAAATCAGAAGTCAACACAAGTATCATAACAGCGAGAGTATCTGGCCACGGGACCTGCTTACTAGAGTTGAAGAATCGAGGCACCCGCTTTAGAGTTAAATGGGATGCTGCAGTTCAGGCACGCGTTGTTCAGCTGGCTGTGGGACTCTGTACCCTCTTTCCTACATGAGATGAGTGAGTGATCAGGATAGTTCTTTTATGCTTCAAAAATCTAGGTATTGAGACTTTGCTTGTGCTAAAGCTGGTTGAACCTTTAATTTCTGATTTCTTTTCCACTTGCAAAACTGCTAGAGATTTCTGGTAACCTGGATCCTCCCTCACTACTAGTCCCAAGCCTGTTGCGCAGGATATTGGTATTTGAAATGTCAGTAGGACGCGTTATTCTGTTGACTACTCCTGCAATGCAAGGACATGCTTATAAGGGCTTAAAAATGGAAATAAAAGAATACAAAACGGTACAACAAAAATGAAAAGTGATACTGCTGCTTATGTCTAAGCTATCAATTTAGATGTTCTGTCTGAGAACTGCTTGCTGACTGCAAGCCAGATACAGCTTGGGAGGAGTGTGGGGTGTGTGTGTGTAGCCTCCAAAGGTGTACTGCATAATGACTTAAGCATGTTTTTTCTTCTCCAGGTCTCAGGTGTATATGCACCCCAGTCTGTCTCAACCCAGCACCATGGTCCTGACAGGAGGCACTGCTCTAAAGCCTCCGTATTCCGCCTTCCCAGGCATGCAGCCCTTGGAGGTGGTGAAAACCCAGTCTGGGTCCCCCTATCAGCCAATGAACGGGAGCCAGACGCTGGTTTATGAAGGCCAGATAAACCAGGCAGCTGGTATGGGAGCCTCCCAGATGATGGACTCTCAGCTCACTCAGGTGAGGAGTAGGGCTTGCAAGGTGTGTCCTCTTGTGCAGGAGCATTCACAACTGCTTGTTTCTGAGACTAGGTTGAAACGTGTACTTACGCTGATTCGTGTTTGCATGAGTTAAGTTCTTGGTAAAGAGGCAGAAGATTTCCTGAGAGTCTTTGTTCTATGAACCATTGTTTCAAACGTGCAGCACCTTATTTAATGAGGTTCTTGCTAATTACTTGTCTGTCTCTGCTGAGATGTCATTTTGTTACTTGTACAACTACATTGAGGAGGGGAAGACATACTACAGTTTGACTGCAGGTCAAAACCTGCAGTGCTTCCCAGATAGGAGGGCATGATACTGTTGTGACAGTTGTCCTAAAAGTACCACCCCCAAGAGCTACATCCCTCTCTCCTCCAGATTTAACTTGACTTCCAGGGTAACTGACCTTTCAATTAAAGCTCGTCTGTATTCTCGATTCATTGAGTATCTAGGTCTTGTTAACAATTC